CAAAAGTGTTCCGTGTGCTTATGAAAGAGAGACTCTTTCAAGAGTTCAGTGAAACCGTTCCTTCATCTGAGGATGCAGGCTTTTGGAGAAAAGGCAGTTTGCCAGGACTTACTGTTGGAATCAGCATATTTGGGGGTCCTAGGGGCTGCTTCTTTGAATAATCTTCTCATCTCTCCTTAGTCTGCTTTAGTTTTGCTAGAAGTTGGTGTTTGAGTGGATACCTGAGCTTAGTTTTATTTTCTATTTTGTCTGAAGGTTCCACAGCATGTAAAGCACCAGATTTAGAGGTGGCATTACACTTGGAGAAGGGGGGGAAAAAAACAACAAATGTATCACGGTAGTTAATCACAGTGGCAGAACACCAAGTGTAAGATGCCCCTGATTTTCAGGGTGGAAGAGTAATACTTTCTTATTTTCTCCCATGTGCTAAACCCATCTCAATTAAAATGTAAGACACAGTGACCTGTGTGAGATTAAACAGCCTGCCATGGGATGGATCTGTGAGCATCACGCCATTGCCATAAATCTGAGAAATGCAAGCGGTGGTGACCTTTACCCTCTGGCATCTTCTCCTGGATCTGTGTGCTGCTGGTTGGCAGCTGAGAGGTCCTTGCCATCTGTGTAACAGGGATGTTCCCCTCAGTGGGTTTTGGCTACCGATTGCCTCTGTATCCTGCCCTATGATTTTCTCTTTACAATCTGACCCCAGCTAGGCTCCAAGGTTCTTCAAGGCAGGGCTGTGACTTTCTTTCCTGTCCTTGTGTCCCCAGTGATAGAGCAGGAGCCTGGCGCAATGTTTGGCAAATATGTTGACTTTTAAATGATGGCTTTCCAGGGATGAGAGGCAAAGAAAAGAACCAAGCCCGTCAAAATCCTCAGGCCGTTAAGATTCCTCTTTCCAATTTTTAATACACCATACTCCAGCTCTCGAGGCAGGAGGATCCTGTAAACCTGTAAGGCACTGACATGATTAACAACCTGGAATCGTGTTTTCACATAGGTCCGAAAGGGCAGCCCATGCACAGTGAGCGGTGGTGGTAGTGGGGGAAAGCAGGCTTGTCAGAAGCCGTTCTCTGCCCATCTCCTTGGGATTCCATTGGGACCCACCCTCACCCCAATGATCTAACTGACCCTGGAAAGTGCCTCACCTTCCCTGAAGCACCTTTATCCTCTCCATGGCTCTGCACAATGCACACGGGGTCTTGGAAAAGGTGATCATGAGCCATACACACCGTTAACCATCCAGGCTGTTGCTCAGTCCACGCTCGGTCCCTAGTTTCATTTTACGTGATTTAGCAGCAGCGTTTGACACATTCTCTCCTCCTGGGAGTGCTTATTGCCACTTGGTTTCTAGGTGATCAGGCCTCTTGTTTCCTTCTACCTCGTTGGCCTTTGCTTTTCAGGCCCCTTGGCTGTTTCCTCCTCACTTCCTGACTCTTAGAATATATATTCTGTTCTACTCATTCTCTTGGTGATCTCTGCCAGTTATGCTGCTTTCAATATCTTTGAAATACTGATGACTTTAAATTTCTATCTCCAGTCCAGACCTTTTATCCATCGTTTGCCTACTTAGTGTCGACTCTGCCACATCTTGGGCATCTCTCTCCTAAGAGGGGCACGTGCTTTTTCCTCTCAAACTGCTCCTACTGATGTCTTGCCTGATCTCAGTCCATGGCAGCCCCACCTTCCAGTTACTCAGGCCCAAACCCCCAGAATCATTTTGACTCTTCTATTCCTTCTACATCCTACATTCATTGAGACATTCTAAATGTATTTAGAATCTGACCACTTTGCTCTCACCTCCTCCACTGCTCCAAGCCTGGTCCAAGTAACCACGATCTTTCAGCTGGATTATTATAATAACATTACAACAGGTCTTTGAGCGTGTACATGGTCGCTGCGTTCTATTCTCAACCCAGCAGAGTGATACCGTTAACATCCAAGTCAGATTATGTCACTCCCCTGTTCGTGACCCCCCATGGCTCCCCATCTCACTCAGAGCAAAAAGCCAAAGTCTTTTTAGTGTCCCTCGGGATCCTGCTCTGTTGCCTTGTTTCTGTTCCAGTCCCACTGGCTCTTTGTTGTTGCCTGAAATACCAGGCTGCTCCTGCCTCAGAAGCTTTTCACTGGCCGTTCCCTGCCAAATGCTCTTCTCCCAGGTAGCGGCATGGCTCCCACCCTCCCCTCCATCAGCCCTGTGCTCCTGCATCTGCTTCTCAGGCAGGGCCTCGCTGACCACATGGTTTAGAATCGCAGCCTTCTCCCGGCCGCCTCCTACACTTTGGCATTCTGTATCCTTTCTCTTCTGCTCCACTTTTTTTCCTGTTGTACTTAATATTTTTAACATACCTTGTGATTGGTTGATTGATTACATCTAGTCTCTGAATCCTTCCGCTAGGAAATAAGTTCTGTGAGGACAGGAAATGTTATGTCATTCCCTGTGGAATCTCTAGAACCTAGCAGTGATTGGCACATGGCCGATGCTCAATAAATATTTATTTCATTAATGAATGAATGAACTGGGCCATGATACTAAGTTAGGAGGAAGAGAAGGTGCATTTGATGGTTGAATCAGGATCAACAGTCATTCTGGTTTACTAGATTAATAGGCGAACTTTAACATCATAAAGGTAAAGAGATACATGTAAATCCCTATAGTCAAAAGCCAATTCTACGGACAAAAGATGAAGAGCATACCAAGGGACAACCTAAAGGTGCTATTTGACTGTGATTTCAGAACTGAATAGCAGGGATGTGTCTTTGATCCAAAGGCTAATGGTCACATTAATAGATGTATAGTACAGAGATAATGGTAGATATTAATTTAACTCTAATCTTTGCTGCTCAAACAGCAGTGGGAGAATTGGGTTCACCTCTGGGCCTCATGCCTAAAGAGAGATTTAGATAACAGGAGCCCCATTTGGAAAAGAGCCACCTCGGGTGGCAGCATATCATGGTGGAAATGTTCATAGTACCTGGCCATTCTTTTCAGCAGGAAAGACACAGGGGAGACCTAACTAGTCTCTTTAGCTATCTGACAAGCCGTTCTGTGGAAAAGGGAATACTCTATATTACTTCAGCTGCCAGAACTGAGACCAGTGGGAAGAAGACAGAGTTCAGATAAGAATAAGGAAGATGTGCAGATTGGTGGAAGTTACCCAAATATGGTGCCGTAGCTCCTAGAGGCAGTGGACCTCCCATCCCTTGGGACACAGCAGGGCCAGCGCAGGGTAATTATAGGAGGATTCAGGACTGCGTGAATTCAAGTCCTTCATGAAGCACACACCACGGTGGCATTAGATGTGCCAGAGATTGGAAATGAGGTAGAAGCCAGAGGAGGCTGGGATGAAGGTCTGATCCTTCTGAAGGAGAGAGGAAAGGAAGGACGACTGGGTAGGAAGAGTCTTAGACTGTGGTGCTGTCACAAGGCAGCATTGCTAAGTCCACGGGAGAGTCTTTGAGTGAAAGTTTCCCATCCGAGGAGTCAGGAATTGTCATGCCCTAGCATCCAGGCCACTCTCAGTCATTGCCTGGGAACAGCCTATGGGAAGCAGGCCTCTCTGTGAATGTGGGGATGGATTACAGAGCCCAGCATCTGGGGCCATTAGTCAGTTATGCTCCCAGCAGTAAGTTTTGAGAGTCACATTTTCACAGCCACCACAAGGTCTCTGATGGGAACTATGCAAAGTCCCAGGTGGACACTCTGCTTCTAAGGCCTCATCATAACACTCTCATGCTGTGCTCTCTTTATGGCTCCCCAGGCTGTGAGCATCTTCAAAATAAGTGCTCAGCATCACCATACTCCACTTATCACATAGTAGGTGCTCACTGAGAATCCAGCGAGTGGCAGAGAACACAGCGACCCCCATGACCCGGTGGCCATGCTCTGTAACTTCAGGTCTTGGAGAGGAATCTCTTAACTTAAATTGAGGATAGTAAATGTCAGTCAGCCACGGTCCCCAGAGAAACCCTGTAAAGTGGAGTTCCTGTGAGGAAACGACCTTCAGCACTGCAGGGGTGCCAGAACTAAACGGAATGGCTCCTGAGCCAGCGCAGGCTGAAGCCTCATCCATTACCTGCCTCTTCCCCTAGAAAGACAACCCTCATTTATTATTTCCAGACTGTTTTCCTTTTACTTACACCATGTGAAAAGTGTTGAATTGGGAAATAAATAATATTATTTCCAAACAGAGGTTTCAGAATCACTTCACAGATTTTGGAATTATTATCCTGTTTGCAAATGTTTGGTTTGTGTATCATTTCCTCATTTGTATCTGTGAGCTCTTTATTGTGAACGTCCCCATTTGGAAAACCATGACAGAAACCTGAAAGAGCTCTGTTGTTGGTTTGTGTTCGTGTCTTTTTGAGAGATGCCTCTGCTTTCTTTTGAAGTGCAGCAAAATTTTCCAAGCAGCCTCAGAAAGAGATGTTTACTTAGAATGTTTCCTTTCTATTGCACAGTAATTCTGTACTGACCAGTTCCACTCTCTCATTATCACCCCTTGCCTTCGGGTTCTCTTCTCTGCAATAGCCCAGTTCATTACTGTAAGACTGAGATTCCCTCATCACCTTTTGCTCAAAAACATTCCATTGCTCCTCTTGGCCTACTTATTGTCTGAAGCCTAGACTTGTCACTGTTGTCATGCCCTCCCTAATGGGCTCCAGCCTCCCAGGCCACACTGTTTTTCCATGATTCCTCCAACCATCTCTTGTTGTGGTCAAGACTTCCACCTCCTTACCCAGAAAATGCCATGCCCATTCCAGCCCTTGCCTTCACACGTTTTCCTATCCTAAATGATCACCTCTCACACCTTTGTTATCCAAACTCCATTCGTTCTGCAAAACCTGCAGGAAGCTCTGCAGATCCAGCTTAGCTGATGAAGAAGAAAGGGCAGGGTTCAAACCTAATGACATTTCTCTCCCCACTTATCTCTGAAAGATGGCGCTTCTCATGTAATTGAAGGTCTGCTTATATGCCCTGTCTCTCCCTCTCTCCACAGCCCCTTCTACTGTTCCCATCATGCACCAGGTCAGCGCCACCATGAGGAGCATCACCTTGTCATGGCCACAGCCTGAGCAGCCCAATGGCATCATCCTGGACTATGAGATCCGATACTATGAGAAGGTGAGCCTCAGGCTTGCAAGACCCAGGGCCAGCCACTGTTCCATAGGTGGCGGCCAGCTGAGAGCACAAGGAGACAAGCTGGAAGAAGTCCTGAGGGAGGGAGGAATTTGGTGATGGGGAACAGAGGCTCTCTGGGAGAGTGATGGAGACCTGGTGATAGAGACCAGAGGTCTTCCCTGGCAAAAGCCTTCAAAACCTAGGCATTTACTGTATCAACTCAGGAGAGAACTGTCCAACCCATCACTCTGCTATCTGGACAGCTCACTGGGCTGGTATGGGCAGGACCAGTTCCATTATCCTAGTCACGTGCTTGCTATACTAATGCAGATGCTACAAAGCTGTCAGGGGTCACCTGAATTTTCTGAAGGTTTTGTGGTTTTTGTAGACTAGTGTTTTTCAAAGTTTTTGAGCAAGAACCTCCAATATGAGATTGTCTATTTATAAATCATATGCATGTACTACTGCACTAATATATTTATGGCAGTTAAAATTATTAAATGGAAATTTAAAAGAATGAGATAAAAATTAATAGAAATGGAAATTTATGTATTATCTTCCTTGACTACTCTTTAGCAGCTATGGCTGGCGGGCACAGCAGGGCATGTGCTGCCAAGAATGAGGAAATGGTGCCCTGTGGAATTGGTCCCCGGTCTACTGTGGGAGAAGCAGGAACTTCCTCCCACCATGTATTTGCAAAATCCCAGGAAAATACATTTCTTTCTGTTACTGACCCAATATATTATTTGAAAAACACCAGATTCATTCATTTATTTGTCCATCAAGTATTTATTGAGTGCCTGCTCTTTGGCAGGTACTATTTTAGGATATATTAGTGATCAAAAAAGAGATTCCTCCCTCAAGGGGCTTATTTTCCAGTAAAAGGGGATGGACAATGAACAATGAACATAATCACTAAAGAAATTGTATAGCATGTTAGAAAATTGTTATCTTAAAAGGGAAAAGAAAAATCAGAGCAAGGTAAATAGGATCCAGAGGATGAGGTTTGGGGGAGGAGTTGGTTGCAGCAATAAATAGGATGGTAAAGGCAGGCCTCTTGGAGATGGTAGGTTCTGAGTAAAGACCTGAAGGAAGTCAGGGTGTTGTGAAGCAGATATCTGGGGGATAGAGAGCTTGTGCAAAACCCCTGAGGCAAGATCATGACTGGTGGTTCAAGGAACAGGAAGAAGACCAGCATGATTGGAGCGCTGCAAGCAGTGGGGAAATAGTTGACAGGAAAGGGAGGTAATCAGGGGAGGTGATCATGTTGGGCTTTAAGAACTTCATCTTTCCCACTGAATGAGATGGGGATCCATTGCAGAGTTAGAAGTAGAGACAAAATCTAACTTATACTTTAAAAGGATCATTTAGACTGTTCTGTTGAAATAGGCCTGCTAGATTCCAATCATCTAGAACAAGAATGATGGTGGCTTGAATCGGGGTGAAAGCAGAGGGCTGATGAAACAGTTCATTTCCAAATACATAAACTAAATATGGAGCCAAAGGAATTTTCCAGCAGGTTGGATTTTGGATGGGGAAGGTTTTCGCCTGACCCACTAGAAGGATGTAAACACCATTGATGGAGAAAGGGATCACTGTGGGTGAAGCATGTTTGGTGAGAGGGAAGGGACAGAAGTCCAGCTCAATGTCTAAAATGCTTCTGAGATGGTCAAGTAGAGACATGAAGTAGGCAGCTAGATGTACACATCTGGAGTTCAGGAGAAAGGATGGGGTTGGAGATGTCCATTTGGAAGTTGTCAGTACCTAGATGATGTGAAAGCCCTGAGCCTGTGGGAGATCATCCAGTGGGTGAATGGGAATAAGAAGAGGATCAAGGATGGAGATCTGTAGCCCTCCAACATAGAGGCAGCACTGGACAGTGGAGCATGACTATACTGGAAAGCAGGAGCTCTAGTTTCCAGGGCTCTCCTTAACCAACCAGCCATGCAGAGGTGGTCACATTATGTAACCATCTAGGTCACAGTTTTCACATCTTTTAAATGGTAGTAATTTATCTCCCTGAAAGTGGAGGGCCAGATGGATCACCAGTCTAGTCTGTGAGGAGGTATGCCCTTCAGCCATTACAGCTGAACTTGCAAGCAAGGTGAGGATTAGGCAGTATTCTATTCAGTTAGAGAATATCAAGTTATGTAGATAATTGATTCAGAAAATTTAGTGAATTTGGTGTAATTTAAACCATCTGGATTCATAAGCAACCATTATATCCATTCAGCTTTGAATTGGGGACCCTTATTTGCTACCTATTTTTTTTATCAGTTAATAAAGTAAATGTTGACTTTCCAAAATGTTTTGAACCCATAGGTTTGGACCGACTGACCACAGGATCTCATTTCATCACCCAAGTTGACCTAACATTTCAACAGATTATCATGTGTGGCCAGTATACAGTGTGAAGTCAGAGTCACCAGTAAGGTTCCACCCAGCCCCCCTTCCTACACACACATAAAACTGACACTTGTAGCTCCTCTCAGAAGAATAATAATTTCTCCCTAGTGTGCCCCTATTGGGTGCTAGGGGCTTTATAAATATTACCTCCCTTCCCCTCACAACTCAGTGTGGTAAATATTAGTATCTTTGATATGGGTAAAGAAACCGATGCACAAAAAGGTTTAAAACAAACAAACAAACAAACAAACAAACAAAACTCTTTTATAGTCACAGAGTTAGGAAGTGAGGCTACAGCCTAAGTCCTTTGCCCTGAAACAAGTGGCGGTGATGGTAAGAGGCTGAATGCGTGGGAGACCATCTGCCCTCCTCTTCATCTGCAGTGCCAAGGTCAGCCACCCCTGGGAAAGGGGCGAAGGGCTTAGTGACAGGCTCAGACCCGAAAGGATGGTGCCCGTGTGCCTTGCCTCCTCTCTTCCCAGCCCACGTCCAAGCTCCTTCATCGACTTGCCCGTACATGCAAACCTCTTCCCTTAAAAAACTGTAATTAACCTCCACTTCTGATGTGATGAAGGAAGCTCGCTCTCCCATTTCAGGCCATGTCCCTACTTCTCAGTAATTTATACTAATTATTAACAGACACACATGCACAACAGCTCAATGCCTGAGGCAGCTTCCACACCTCAGTGAAGCATATTATTGTCCCCACTCCAGAGGATAGAATGCTTTCCTTGGGAACACAGAAGATTCTTCGCCAAAGCATTGGTTACTGTTTGGTGTATTACCACAGAATGCTCCTTCACGTGTAAAGTGCTTGACTATGAAATCTGTTACATTGCCTTGAACATTTCTAATATGACTAAAGAAAAGTTAATAACCTTGTGAGGGTGTTTTGAAATAATAGCTGCAATGATAATAATTCATTTTTATTAAGTGCCTGTTATGTGCTAGATTTTCACAGATCTATTAGTTCTGACCCTTAAAAGGAAGATTCTTGAAATCCAGCTATAACCAATTTATAGATGATGCAACTAAGTCACAGAAAGGTTAAATGACTTACCCATGACCACATAGGTCACAGCTAGGGAATCACAGCACCCAAACTGTAGACATTTTTACTATATTTCAATGTATTTCTGAGTTCAGTATTTGACTGGATATAATCATATTGATGCTGCAGTCTCATCATTAGTGTGGACCCTGAAATGAGATTGTATCTTAATTTTAAATCCAACTGCTTGTAACCAGAATGATTTGCCCATCTGCTCCATAAGGCTGTGGAATCCTGGTCTTTAGAAGATGCAAACACAAAGAGAACTCAACCTAGTAGATGTCCTGGTTTCAGTCCAAAGAAACAAAACCCACCACTCCTCCATCTCATGCCACCTCTTCTAGAAAACAGTCAGCAAATTTTTTTGTAAAGGACCAGGTAGTAAATATTTTAGGCTTGTGGGCCATAAAATCTCTTTCCAACCCCTCAATTCTGCCTTTGTAACAGGAAAGCAGCCTTAAATAATGTGTTAATAGATGGGCATGGCTGTGTTCCAAGAAAACGATTACAAAAACAGAGGCTGTAGTTTTCCGGGCCTTGAAAGCCCTCCCTGGGTCTCCTGCCCAACATCAACCTCTTGGTTTGTGCTTGGGACACGTTTCAGTTTCACTTCTGTGAATGGAGTCAATGAGGCTTTTGCTCTTCCAACCACTCATTAATAGAGAGCTCAGATGCCATTGAGCTGATGACACTCCCAGGGCCTCTCCCATGTTCATCTCCTTCCCCATTTGAATACATTTCCATTCATCATGCTCTCTTGTTTACTGTCTTGTAGCACTTTTCACTCCTGGTGTCAGCGCTTGTAGGCAAACCATGGGAGGAACATCTACATCTGCTCTCAGCTGTCTTAATGATGAAGCATTATGACTCGCTCTTCATAATAACTGTCTAGGCTAGCACAGGCTGGTTTCGGCCTTGGGAATTTCTACCCTTCAAATTTTAGGATCATTTTCTTACAGAAACTCTTTCAGACCTTGGCAATATCTTACGCTCAATCAGTTGGTTTGAGTAACTGGTCCGAAGTGTGCTGTTTATTCATTCATTTAGCACTGAGTGGCTGAGCACGCAGGCGGTGCCGGCCCTGTGCTACACATCGGGGATGGAAAAATAAGGGAGGCATGGTCTCTGCCCCCAGCAGCTGCAGCCTCACATGCTTATTAAATCAGTCATATGTGACCAAAACGAGCAACCTTGACCTTCGCTCTCACTCATTTGCCTGAAGTTGGTTAATGGATTTGAAGGGAACAAGGACTGATATTCATTTTAATCACCGAACTTCTTGAATATATGGACTACAAAATGATCATGGGTTAATGCGTTATCCTCAAAATCCAAATGCCAATACATCAAAACACATTTTTCAGTAAAAGAGCTGCCCGGTCAATGCTTCACTTATTTCAAGCAGTGCATTCTTCCATAGATTCCAGCAAAACCAGAGAATTCTGGCAGCCACCTGCATTTTGTAGCAATGGGATTTTGTCCTAACTTGCAAGGTGACTGGGCTTTCATAGTTTCAGATCTCAGTTCTCCAGGGCGTCAAGCTAGTAATAACCAAAGATGTAGATGACACCCCTTCTCTAGTGGACAGTCTTCTTTCTGCTGGACCCATGATTGGTGGTGGTGGAGAATCCACCTGCTTTTTAAATAGATCAGAGGATGAGTGGGTAGGCCTTCCTCAGGCCGTCTCGTCCAGGCTCCATCGGGGTGCACATGGGCCTCTTTGTAACTTTCGGCTGTCTATTCAAGCTGGCCTCTAACCTGTGGTCCCTTACAACTGCTTCTAAAGCATTTATCACCACCCCTGTGCCACCCACAGTCCAGCTATGCCCAGTTACTTGTGGGCTCCGGAACTCCTTTAGACCTTGCTTTTGTATGTTTTATTCTGTTCTCATGGAGTAGTCTGTTCAGTTCTCACTCCCCACATTCATCCATGTGGCTAATTTTTTTACCTTTCAGGACTCAACTCATGTCACCCTTTCTCTGAGCTCCTCCTACCTTCTTTATCAGTTTGGACTGAGTGATCCTTTGCTGTTCCCCCACAGGCCCCTTAGCTGCCCTCTGCCAAAGGCACTCAGTCAATACTGTTGTCCTCCTGTGTTTATTTTCTGGTCCACCCCACAAGATGTTGTGTCTCCAGAGGAGAGGGACCTGTAGCCCATGTGTAGCACCCAGTATATGGTAGTGTGTCATAAACATGACTGCCTGGCCAAATGAATGAATGAAAACACATCAGGTCATCTTCACCTTTGCAAAATACACTTTTATGTGTTTTGAGACAATGGTAATTTCTATTCATTTTGCTGTACTTCTTTTGTCCTGGCTCAGCTCCCCAAGTTTCATCTGTTGTTGGATGGAGGATGTGGCTTATAGAACTCTTGTCATCATCTTTCCCCGCATTTGTCACCATGCCGCTAGGGACCTTTGTGCCTAGAACTTGTCACAGTACCCCAGATTTGCACATGGGACTTAAAGGCCTTTTTCCCAGTGGCCCAAGCTCTTCACTTTTACTGATATCCCTACTTGGCTCTAAGATTCATGGTGCAGACAGGGACAGGCCCAGACTCTAAACTCATGTTCCTGCAGGCTCAGAACTAGGCCCCAATCTCCATGATGCTCCCATGGAAGTGAGTAGAGAGAAGGCTGGTGTATCTGAAGGTGCTGAGGATGGACAAGATGAGGAACGTCTGTGGGCTAGAGTAGTGAGGAAAGCCTTCCTAGAAGAGGAGGCCTAAGGGACCTGGAGGGGAGCCCTGGAGAGAGGCACTTCAGTCTGGAAACACAACCTAGGCAAAGGTCTGGTGGCCAGGGCTGTGGTCCTTGGAGTGGCAGCAAAGTGGTGATTTAGGGGGATGTGAGGGATTGAAATTATGAAAGGCCTTTAAATCTAGTTTTAGGAGGTTTTTTTGTTTATTTGTTTGTTTTGTTTTGTTTTTGTTTTTGTTTTTTATCTGCTAATAATTTTAGGGAAGGCCAGAGATCTTTTTTTGGAGATGTTTGGATTAGGTAGGAAGGGAGTGGCAGAAAAGATGGGAGGCTACAAAAGTCGAGGCACAAACCAAATGTTACCTACGATCAGTAGCAAAGAGAAGCAACTGCTTCAGGGCACTCATGATAGGTGGAGGAGCCAGAAGGATGAGAAATAGGAGCAACACCTGTGCAAAACAGAGGACACACGTGTGCAGACAACAGGAACGGTGGAGGACAGGGCGGAAGATGCTGGAGAGAGTGACAGACAAAAGGGAGGGGTAGGAGGGGTGAGAACACAGGGCCTGCTCTCCAGGGAGAAGGGACATGACCTCCCTGGAAGCTGGGGGAGAGGGAACTAGAAGACAGGGACCCAGATAGACACAGGCCAAGGCAGAAGCAGGTGTGGGAGGTAGCCCAGAATGGCATCCACATTCAGCAGAGTGGATGTAAAGCCATTTGCTGAAGGACTTGAGGGAACCTATAGAATGATCTAGAACAGCCATTGTGAGGAGTGACCAGGGAGATCTTGAGTGAGGAGAGGAAAGAAAATACCTTAGCAGAGGCAAGACAAAGAGAGGCAGGCACTAACAGGGCGGCTCAGTCTGCCCAGTTAGTTTCTGCTGAGGTCAGATACTGGATAGGATTTTCCAAAGATGGATGTGCTTTGTTATTCTTCCCTCAAATCCTGAAGGGGGGAGGAATAGAAAGTGACCATGAGCCCCCCAACTAGGCCCTGAGAGCTCAGTCATTTGCTCAGAGTGTAGCCACTCCATAGTCCAGAATCAACTCTACATTCCTTCAGGCCAGGCCAATCTGTCCCCATTCAGAAGGATGGCCTAGGTCATCCTAGGTGGCAACTTCTAGCAGATCTGCAGGACCAAGAACTGATGGGGCCTGGGCGATCCAGGGTGAAGCGGACTAGGGACACAGCACTCAGAAGAGGGCCGCTGACCCCTTTCCTTTGCTCTTTTTCAGGAACACAACGAGTTTAACTCCTCCATGGCCAGGAGCCAGACCAACACGGCGCGGATCGATGGCCTGCGGCCGGGCATGGTATATGTGGTACAGGTGCGCGCCCGCACTGTGGCTGGCTATGGCAAGTTCAGCGGCAAGATGTGCTTCCAGACCTTGACGGATGGTAAGGAGCAGGCCAGCGACCTGGGCACAGGGTGGGCCGCTGGGGAAGGACGAGCTGCACTCGCAGCCAAAATGCCAACCTCCACTGGGTTCCAGTGGAATTTCCTCAGAAGGGTTTGCCTCCCAGTAGGGCAGTAGACTAGGTTTGCCTCCTTGCTTGATTCACCAGGTAGGGCATCTGTCTAAAGTTTGGCGTGTCTCTCTCCGGCATCTAGTGGATTTGCCTTGGAAGGGCCTCTGTGCCACATGCAGAGAGGTCACTGCTTGTGTCCTGCGTGTGCACAGCAGTGAGACCCACCTACACATCTCTCAGACTCCGTGGAGCAGGGCGAGATGCCTGCTGTGTCACCCTCACTCCCACTTCACCCCTCTGTTCCCAGGCACTGGGAGCAGAGCTCACGGCCTCGTTGCATGAGCCCAGGTCTCCAGGAAGGAAACAGAGACAAAATTTGGAGTGTGGCAGTCCCAGGCACGCAACATCTTAGAGTATTTGAAGCAGCTTAGTATGTGATCCCCAGTAGGTCCAGCTCAGATGTCTCCAGAGAGAATGGCCACTGTTTTCCAAATTGTCCCCAAGACCAGAAAGCCTGTCACCAAAAACACTTCCACCTGTGGGCTTTATTGGTTCCCTATTATAATGCTCTCCCCCCACTCCTCTGAGACTACCCGCTTTAATACTAATGAAAATCAGAGTTCCCCGTAGCCTGAGCACTGAGTATGGGCGTGTCTGCCCGACTGCTCACTCACTCTTATCCTTAGCTCGCCATTTACCATAGTGTATGCCTTCATTTACCTCTATACTACCTATATTTATTTATTCATTTATGACCTATTTCCTGATGGTTTTCCAAATGTCAATCTATTCCTAATCTCCCAAATTGAAAGCCTTTAATTTTTCCTTTATTACTTAGGTTATATAGGAAGCAGTCTGCCCTTACATAACATTTTATTTTAGGCCAGCACTCTCTGAGTAGGCACTTGACAGAGCTTGAGGTTTTATATTGACACACCATATTTTTTAACAGTTTAATCATTCACCAGAAAGATTTAACAATCAGATGATTTCATATAAAACTCATAATATTCATTTTCTTGGGAATAACTATAAGAGGATCCCGTGCTGGTGGGCGTGCCATGGTGAGGCACTGCGGCCCCGTGGGGTGCCCACCACTTCCCAATGATTTGCTCTGGGATGCTTTAGTGCCAGCTGTCTGGCTCCTGTTGGACTGGAGTTCGCAACCTGTTTTGAGTTTATCTTAGGTGAATTTTCAGTCATATTTTGAGGATGATAAGATGGGATGGAAAGGTGAGGCAGTTTATCCAGATTAATAATGCTGCTGGTATGAAAAAAATGTAGGTTGTCTTCTTTTCCGCAAGGACTCTGTCCCCCTCTCTGCACCTCACTTACCATTTAGATTTATGGGCACTTTGGCATCAGGAGGTACACAGGATTAAAAGCCCAAAACTCAAAATGATCTGAGCACTGGTCTCTTGGCAATTCTACTAGACAAATCAAGATGTAACAAATTTCTCCCAAGAAGGCTATTCCTTTTACATTGGCAGTTAAGTTTTGTAAACCCAAGAGGTGCTAGATGTAAGAGAGTTCTGGTAAGTGGCCAAATTCGGGAGTATTAATCTTAATGACTGAGGATCACACATTGGTAGTAATTACGCTCACTGATGTTCACTGAGGCTTCGGGCCCCGATGGCGGCACAAAGGTGAGTCTGAAGGCTGATCAATGATGGGTCATTGAGGCTGAAGGACCTGTGGGAAGGTGACATTGCTTCATGAAGTTTTTAATGTATAAAGACATTGCTATGGACTTCTGACTGTGGTTCCTTGCATTTTTTGTTTGTTTTTTGCCAAATTAGTTTTTTTAAAAAAACATTCATGTTACGAAAAGCTCTCAGCAGAGAGAAACTGAAACTCAGCCTTCTGTCTTTAAAATTTATTTCTAGAAAGTGGGGGGCTTTGAGAACAACATCTTTTTCTTTAGAAGCCTCTTTCTCCACCCACAGAGTTGAAGGCTGATTCCCAAACACTGGGGAGCATAAGAGTCACCTGGACTGTTTGGTAAACATGCAGACACCTGCTCTTCACCCAGAGGCTCTGATTCAGGAGATCTGAGGAGGGGCCCAGGAATAGTCATATGTAATAACCAGGCTCAGGAGATTCCAATGCAGGGCATGGGGAACCTCAGTTCAAGAGGTATTGCCATTAGGGTTGCCAGATAAAATACAGGGCAACCAGTTAAATTTGAATTTCACATAAACAATAAATCATGTTTTACTCTAAGTATCTGCCATGTAATATTTGGGACACACACACACACACACACACACACACACACACACACACACAGAATGTCTTTGGTATTATGCATTGAGTACCAGCTATGCGCAAAGGGCATATAGGAAGGATTCTAATGCCTCTTTCTCACCTAGATGATTACAAGTCTGAGCTGAGGGAGCAGCTGCCCCTGATTGCTGGCTCGGCAGCGGCCGGAGTTGTGTTTGTCGTGTCCTTGGTGGCTATCTCCATCGTCTGTAGCAGGTAGGCCTTCTACTGTCACCCCTGCCTGCTCTCCTCAGACCAGGAAGCCCCACCTTCAGACGTCTTTCATTTCATGCAGTCTGGACCAGGCATGGCCTTTCATGGACACACAGTCCAACTCCTGGTCATCATTCCATCTCAATCCACAGGCAGCCAAGAATTCCCCAGATTATTTATTTTCTCTGTGTCCCAGATAAATTCCTCTATGAGAGCCAGGGAAGACTATGAAGAAATAGCTCCCATCCTCAAGCCTCATTTTAGCCGAGACATTAGCGCCCCTCACACGCCACAGTGTTTCAGAGTGACAATGACAAAATTGCTTTTGACCCCCTGGAGCATTACAGCCTGTGCCCCAGCTCATCCTCTGGTTACAGAGCCAAGGTCCTCAGCAGAGGGCACAAGGCAGGTGTGCGGGGGGGAACCAAAGAGGCAAAGAAGAACTCCCAGGTTCTGCAGAAGGGCTGGCCCTGAAGGCCTTGTTAATTGTTAATACTGTTGCTACTGCTTTTGGTGGTTAGCCCAGAGGCTGCTGTGCGAAGCCCTGGGATGGGCCCCTCCCAAGCAGTGCCGCAGTGCAGCCAGGGCCCTAATAGGCATCCTCAAGAGCCTCTTTCCCAAGCTCTGAAAGGGACCCATAGCCCTGCCTGGTCTCTGAAAGACTTGACTTGAAAGCAGCCCCAGCAGCCCACAGTGGTGGTTAAGCTAGAGTGCCTGCCATGACAGGAGCTACACCTAAAGTGAGAGTCGCAGCTCCCCATGCCAGGAGATGCCTGGGTAAGCCCCCATCAGGACAGGAGGCCTCGGCAGAGGTCCCTGGAATAGAAAAGCTGAGAAAGCTCCTCTTCCTTGTGTTCACAGGAAACGGGCTTACAGCAAAGAGGCTGTGTACAGCGACAAGCTCCAGCATTACAGCACGGGCCGAGGTGAGTAGAAAGTGCACACCTATTGCCTGACCCCTGGAGAACTACCGAGTAGAGCAGGCAAGTGTGTGGAGAGCTCCTTCGAGCCAGGCTGGCCAGTGCCGACCACAGGCCTCCTTGCAGCCGCTAGTGCCCCAGCACCGCCTCTCTTTCCAGGTCCCCAGGGAGCCCAGGCTGCCGCCCCATCTGCTGTCTGCCCGTTGTGGGCACTCATTGGATGCCTGGCAAGTAGATTATCTTCTGCATTGATAAGCCCATATAGGACATGGAATGCAGGGAAAAGATTGGTTTAGCAAGTCAATGAATCCTGAAATCAGACACAGTGGGAAAAGATGGAGGGTTCCCTATTAACATCTTCTGCCTTATCTTATCCACCTGAGCGGCTGGGGAATGTGTTAACCAAATTCACAGATAAGCCAGAGAACATGAATGTAGGGAATTAAAAAGATAGCAGAGCCCAAGGGGCCAAAGTGTGGGGATATCTCCCTAGTGTTTTCTTTTAAAAAGTACCTTAAAAGTTTTCCTCACTCATTATCCTACTCCTCTTAAAAAAAAAAAAAGACATATAATATTTTTTATAGCTAAAATTTCCCCTCACCAATGTGCAACGTAAAGTCTTATGTCAGAATTATTCTTTCATCTCTGTAATTACAACATTGCAGGGTCTGAAAAGGTCTCACTGGGTCACTTGGGCCACCTGCCTGCATCTAGAAAGCGGTACACTTAATCCTTGCAGCAGACGTGCTCTGTTTCTAAATAACTCCTTTTGAATTCTATGGGTGTCTTCAGAAATCTGTCCCAGCACTCTGTGCTATGCTGTCACAGGCTTCTTCTGTAAGCCTCATCTCACTTAAATCCTCCTGTTGCAATGTAAGCCCTTTTCTTCCTGTTCATGCAGCAGTGAGCATGGAAAACAGACGTCGTCTACACACGCACGCTAAGCATGCCTTGAGTGGGAGTGAAACTGGACTCACACGTAAAAATTCACATGGATCAAACTCATTCCTTCTCCAAGACATCCATCCACCCAGCAGCTTTACCACGAAGGAGCTTATGTTCTAACATGGCCAGTGCTGGCTTGAGCTGTACAAAGGCCACTCTGTAGATACGGCCTTGTTCTTTGGGGTCTTTCAATCCAGAGCAAGAACCTGCCAAAGGCTTGTGAGGACCCAGCTCCTGGCAGCTGGGCTGCTGTTCAGACAGTCATTCCTGGGCTGGCTGAGAGGCACTGTGCCTCTCCCACGGTGAGCCCGGGCATCCCCCCAGTCAGCAGCACAAACTGAGGGTACGGATTTCAGAGAGTGGCCCCTCTCTAAATTCACACACACAGCTCCTAAAACACTCAGAGTCCCATTTACCCTGCTTTCTTTCCCCCTGCAGGGCATGCAGAGATGGCCATGTCAGCCTGAAGGCAGAGGGCACAAAACTGGGTTCAAAAGGAGGAATACCATTTTGAAGACTAGAGATGGCCAAAGGTTAGAATAGGTTGCCCTAGGAGAGAGCTCCCCATTTTAAAGGCATGCAAGCTAAACCTTGTTATTACCCCTCGGGTAGGGTACAGAGGGCTCCCAATCATTAAATCAGGTGCAGCTTAGTGACTTGTTGGCCACTTCTCCCTGAGATCTGGTCATTCTGCTCTGGAGGGACCAGCTCTGCTGGGCCACCATGTGCCACCCACATGCACAGATGTCCTTCCAAAGTGCCCACAGCCCTGTTCTGGGGGACTCTGTCACCTCTAATGTCAACAGAAGGAGGCCTCTCTGGTTCCCAGGGTCCAGAGAAAAACCAAAACTCAGTCTGCAGTAATAGTAACCTTGCTGCAACCAGTGAGGACAGCTGAGGACAGTGCTGACAAGCTGTGTATTCACCATCTCTGTGACTCGGGGGGACACAGAGTTCTTTATGGACCAGAGTTCACTCCCTTGGCTGCCTTAGAAGTCTGTCTACTTTTAATTCAGTTCACCTTTTATAAATGTCCTTTTCCTCTATTCATAGCTGTTCTCTTTTTATCCAGTTCCTGAAACCTGGCTCCAATTTGTACCCAGGTTCTCTAAACTCATAGTCTCATGCTTTGAATTGCGTTAGTGCATTTTCTCCAGTGGACATCAGTCCCTCTGACTAAAGCTATTAGCATTGGAGAATCACAGTGGGAGGACTGTAGAGCTGGAGGAAGACTCAGCATACATCTAATAGAAGAAGAAACTCAAGGCTCAGATGGAGGATTGGCCTGGTGCAAGACGGGGTAGGGGTAGTAATAATTAATCACAAAAAGCCTATTCTGCATCATGCTTTGGGAGATTTATTCTGGTAGCTCACTTCAATTCTTTTGACCCTCACAACCACTGTCAGAGGTAGGCATTAATCTAGGGAGGTTAAATGACATACCCAGGTCACACGGCTCATGGGAGGCGGAAGTGCACTGCACAACATCTAAGTCTGGCTGCAGAGCCCATGCTATTCCCATATAGCAGAGACTCAAGTTGCCTGATAAGCAAGTGAGAATGGACTGAGGACTACTCCCAGGTGTCCTGGTTAGTGGTTTGTTAGTCTCCACACCCACCCCACCCCCGGGTCCCACTACAGAAGGCAGAAAGTTCGATAACGCCTAATCTATGTACGTAGTTATACCTGGGTCATCCACGTGCATGCACCTCCTTGTGGGATGTGGACAAAGCAGCCTGGAACTCTGAGGGCTTCCTGCTCTGGGAGGGACAGAAAACCAGCAGACGTCACAGGTTTCAGAGGGGAAAACCTGCAGCAGCCCTCCAGCCTCATTCATCAGTGCCTCAGCGGACCCTGTCTCTCTTTCCTGCAGGCAGGACATATGGCACCAGAGAGGGGCTGATGGCCCCTCCCTCCCAGGTCTGCCTCCCAAGATGATACAAAAGCTGGAGGAGATGTAATGTAAACATTTGCAAATGGAGAACCTTCTCTAGCCTGCCTAGATGTGGCATATCTGGTCAGTTTGAGAGCATAGTGCTTTCTGGGACACTGGTTATGTCTGTCTCCTGAGCCTGGAGCACAGTGAACAGGCATGTGGAGATTTGAATCTGGGTTAGATACTAGAGAAAAGGCAGGTTGGGAAGAGAAAGTATGTTGGATGTGGTGTTGGATGCTTGGATGAAGAGCCTGGGAACCTGTGGTTCATGTTCAAGGTGAGTGGGTAGGACTGTGGGTTTCCCATGTCCAGGAAGAGGCAGACAAATGGTGTGTCCTCATGGTTTCTATGGGTCAATTCTCAGAAAGTGCTGGCTGACTAAAACTTGCCTGGACAGGATGACCAGGTGGGTTAGGGTGGGCTTGGGAATCTATCTTAGAAACGTTCCAGTTGAGTCTACATTTTGGAAACACTACCAGATACTGATGGGGCTTAGGTGACTACACACTTGATAGTGATTGACACCTCACTGATTTCTGAGTTGGATGGAGTGTGTAGGGGTGGGGAGAGAGGAAGATAGAGGCTTGGTGAGGGGTCAAGGGCTTTCATAAAGCAACCCTAACAAAACCATTTCCATGTTGCAGGCAACCACAGATATAATCACAGAGCTACAATTATTAAGCTTTGAGAAAAGAAAAAAAAAAAAGGGGGGGGGGATATGTGCCCAAAGACCGTAGACTAGCCAACACACTAATTTTCACATAGAGTAAGAGGGGAGAGCACTGAGGTTGCAGAACGGAAGGGTGAGCTTGATCCCTGCTAAACACTTGAAGAGACTGAAGTACATGGGTTCTGGGCATTTAAAACTGAATTTGGTGACCAGTAGGAGCCAAAAAAGGATTATTAAGAAAAAATAACGAGGACCTCATCGCATTTGCTAGGGTTATACTTTTAGTAAATTCAAGAGGAATTGCAGATGCAGTGAATTTCTATTTTGGCAAAAATATTTTATTATATCCTAAGGGAAAGCGCTGTAAAGTGGGGACAGAGCTTGTCTTCATACCAGAAGAAAGTGGGTTAGTGACTCTGTCAGCTAGACAGGAAGTTACCAGTTTTATTCTAGTCCTTGTCCAATTCAATCTCTTGTTTGTTTGATTGTTTTTAAATTCATGAGTCAGGTGCAAGCCTAAGGATGCTTATCAATTTTGTAGGTAAGAGTTGGGGAGCATAACTAACATCATCGAAGACAGAATCAAAATTCAGATCTATCCATCAGCTTTGAATGCTAATTTGAAATCTGCAAGATGAAACGTTAGAGGGATAAATCTAGAATCTAGTGTTTAGGTTAAAACAAAAAGAAAGTGGTAAAAAAAAGTAGGAGACCTGACTTGCTATTTGTTTGTGCAAAAAAAATGTAGTAGGTCTTTAGTTGACCACATTCTTAATATGAGTGATATATAGCTGATAAAGAAGCCAAGCACTGTTACTGATACAGAATAATACTGTTCTCCAATTTTGAGCAGTTACTGTATTAAGTACTTTACCTGTATTCACTTTTAATCTCCATAATTATCCCACAAGGTAGGTTTTGTACCTGAAGGAACAGAGCCTCAAGAGGGGACAAGTAACATGTCCGGAGTCTTCGAATTAGTGATCTGTAAAACAAGTTTTTAAACGCAGTTCTGACTCTGTAGTCCCAATTAAAATTCAGATCAGAGGAGGTGATGCACAGACACACTGTCCTCTGTGCTGGTAAGAACACATCTAAGGGTGATGTTCTTGGTTCTGGGGACCCCATTTCAGAAAGGACATTGTCAGAAAAGCACCTGTGCAGAGGACAGCAGCTTGCCTGTGGGAGGTGTCAAGTCCTAATCGGTTACCTCGGAGACTTGGAAACACCAGTGTGGTGCTGCAGAAACGCAGGCAGGGACCTAGAGGTCCTCATCGAGCAGAACCCATTATGGAAAAGCAAAGGAGATGCTGTTGTGCTGCATGAGGTTAAATGGAACCGTCAAGTGAAAGGTCAAAGAAGGCAGACTTGCTGCAGGAGAACAACAGCCCCCACCCCCACGCTGGAGCTGTCCAACACAGAGGCAGGCTGCTTTGTGGGGAGGTGAGCTCCCTG